CATGTTCAGTTATATATTAATGAATTAAACTTTCAGACATATTCTTTTTCTTGTTTGTCTACTTATTAACTGGTAATTATTGCTAATTAATTGCTATATATTCTTCTCATATATATTTTCTTTAATTGATTTGGTGATCGTAAGTGTGATTTTCTGGTGATCATTTCGATAGAAAGAAATTTGGTGATCAAAACAATCTTTCTTGGTGATCAAAAAAATACATACCCTTGCCTAATAGGCAATATAATTATTTTCATCTGTCATAATGACAGATAAAATAAGAAAAAGCATTTGTGCGTGGAAAGAAGAGATAAAAATGGAGAAGAATACAAAAGAATACAAAAAAAGTTCCTATTTGACTCCTAGTCAACGTAGATTTCTTTCTATCTGCTTCATACCTTTTCATTCCATTAGTACATTAACATGCTTACTATAACGGCATACACAAGTGACTCACCGTTGCTGTATGTATGTGAGTGACTACTATTTCTCCCATGTACTCTGTATATATAGTATCCGTGAAAGAGGAAGAGAGAAAAAGTGTGTGGAGGTGAAAAGAACGTATAGAGAGATATTTATCGCTTGTTGGTCATTAGCGATGACCGATCATATGCACAAAACGAAAAGAGAAGATATCATTTGTAGTTCGGACAATGCACTCATATCCTAACGCGCTAGTTCAACCTTCCTGTCCCTCTCTGGCGCGATGTATATAGGGAGGAAGGAGAAACATATTGGAGTGGCAGACGGCACCACCAGCGATTCCGTCACACTTGCTGCGTCATAAGAATACTCTTACTTCTATTTTCTAGATTTGTCTTTTTTTGTTGGTTAAACAGTCATGTCTGGATATTATCATTTTAATTTGGCAGATCGAACAATACGTAACTATCCTGGCAGTCCACATCCACTAGGTGCACATTATGACGGTAATGGAACCAATTTTGCATTATATTCTGAACACGCTACGAAAGTTGAATTGTGTTTATTTCGAAAAAGTCATGATGAGCAACAAGAATTTGTTGAATATGCTCGAATTAAGATTAAAGGTAAAATTTGCGTTTTTTGTACAGCAAATATATAGTTGTCGAAGAGTAAAAATGTTGATTTCGTTTGGTGACATGCAAACGATAATGTCCAGGAAATTTTGAAAATGAGAGGACATATACCTGAAATGAAACTGTTTTTCAGTATCTGTTAGCTCATACTGCCCTTCCGAATGTAAAATTACTATCAGAGAGTCACTTTTTTGTCATCACAATCACTTCTTATCATCAAGTCTTGAAACTTGTTACAAGTGCAGCCATTAATGCCTTTCTCTGGTCTTTACCGGGTCTGCAGATCATAATCCTGCTTCTAAAGCTACTTCAAACTTCTTTTATCTCTAACTACCATTTCATCGCTCACCATAGGCAAAGGTTTAATGGAAATTTCGTTAGATTATATAGAATTGATTATACTAATTACGGATAACAATTTTTCTGTTTGAAAAAACAAGTCTGAAGGCGAATTTTTCTTAAAAATCAAGTCTCTACGCCCAATAATCGTTGCAACGATTATCGAGCTATGGATGGAGAGAGTACTTTGTAAACCACACTGTCGGAAAGAGCGCATACGAAAATCTATGAAAATAGTTTTCGTAGGCTTTCAAACTGCTTTCTAAATGAAAAATCCCAGTACCTAGCCAAAATTGCTACGGAAATGCTGCAAATGTGTCATTCATTAAATCGAAATATTTTTTTGCGCATAAAAACATATAGCTGACATATCATTGGACGCAGTTCCTAGCGCTGATTCGAAATATGCAATTTTTATTGAATAATACGTTGCTGAGTCGAGAAAAATAGAAAATATCTGGCAAACCAAGGGTATTTTGAAGAAGCTACTATACGGTACAGGTGCATTTATGCATGTTTATGCATTCACCATATATGGAGGACATGTAGAAGAACATTGGATGTTGTCGAACATTCTGTAAAAGTTTGAACGAGTTTCGAGTTGGGCTGTGGAGGGGGGCTCATTTTACTGAAACTATTAGTGTGGGAAAACAATAAAGGGTAGCCCAGAAGTCCTGACCCGATTTGAATAATAAATTTTTGTATAGTGAAACAAGTGGTTGTAAATTCGTCTCTATGAAGAAACGATGCAGTAAAAAACTCTCTACAAGATGACTATTGATTGACCCTGTTAGCTCATCTAGTAATAAAGTTATACGCTTAGAAATGTGCTTCACAAAAAAGAAAAATCAACCGTGAACCCGGTCCATATGGTGGTGCTTTCAGTAAAAGTCCCATAACTTCATCAAAACAAAACGTTTTTCGATCGGGTTTGTTTTGCTTTGATCAGAAATGATT